TTGCATGTTCCTTGCCCTAAATGCGAGACCGATTGCCGTGTCTCTATAATTAGTAACTTGTTTGTGTCTTGTTAAGTGCAGTTAACACTTATCTGCGTCCGACATGTCGGGTCTGAATGCTTTGATGCGGTCAGAAAATAAGAGGTTCAACAATAGTCTGTACAAATGGGACTCTTGTGGTTTGGAGGTAATGGTGTTCGCCTCTCATTCAATAGGTCTCGGGATCGAAACCAGGCAGCAACTGAATATTTTCGTCCCTTAAAAAAATGTTGTTCCTTTCACTTCCTTTCCAGCTCTTTGACCATGTTCTGTCGTCTGCTTTCGTCTTCGCTTTCTGCTGGACTCCTGACTCTTTCTGCAGCCTTTCTACTGCTACTCCTTGGCTTCTTCTCACTGCTGTTTTTCAGCCACACCCATGATCTTACCATGCGCAAGATCTAAAACTTAGACTTCTCGGATCAGGGTAGAAACGTTTGGAAGTCCTCTGTGCAAGTTTCGCCCGTTTAAGATCCCTTGATGGTGCTAAAATCGATAAGAGTAGGCTTCGGCTGCCCTCACTGAGCAAAATTCAAAATCAATTCCTACTAAACTGAAAATGTCTAATGTGTCCCGATCGCTCATAGTAAGACCTTATGCAACATGAAAGTTATGGGGTAATAAATTAGGAAGTTATGAAACACTGCCCCCCCCCCAAAAAAAAGGGCCGTACAAGGGTGTTGGTGCATACTCTCCTTTTGGCTCTTACTCTTTTAAGTTGCGCGTTCTGGTCTTTCAGCAAAACTCGAAAGCACGCTGCATCAGGGTACTTAATTTTACCTCCTCCCCACCCAACACCCACACCCCAAACAAAAACATAATTTCGATCATTTAGTCTAAGAAGCGGACACCCGAACCTTGCCTATCAGGGTCAACTCTGGCTTAGAGGGATACAAAGTCCCAGAAGCAAAACCAAGATACTTCATTAAAATTCCCACCACTCGGGGATCGAACCCGGTTCTCCTGCGTGCGAAAGCGACGTGGCGATCAACTACGCCACAGACGCCAATTTACCCGGCTTAAAGCCCAAACAAAACCCAGTCAAAACATGGTGATGCGATCAGCGATAAGCGGGATAAGGAGGGGGATATTCCCGAGAAACGTTGTTGGCAGAGTGCACAGGGTGTTAGCAATCACAAACACCAAGCGCTGAAAAACCCGGATCTAAAATCCAGGTCCAAAATAGCCCTTACAACTTCAATCTCTCTCTTTTCCCTCTTATCAGGGATTTTGGGGACTGTGTGGGAGGGACATGGTGTCTGCTGGTTGTTGGGAAGGGTGCACCCGAAGTGTACATGTGGGAGAGAGAGAGGGGGGGAGAGAGAGAGAGAGAGAGAGAGAGAGAGAGAGAGAGAGAGAGAGAGAGAGGGAGAGGAAAAAACTGGGGGGGAGGAGAGTGCTCAAGAGACCAATGGCTATCAATCAGCCTTGAGAACTGAATAAAATCACGAGCTGAAAAGTCGTGACCACATATCGGGGGTTGGAGCAGTGAAGGTTTGCTTCTCGTCTCTTGTTCTTGTGAAGTACCCAGTCAACTTTCAGCCTTGATCTATGTTATTTGTTACAAAGTGAAATATGTTATTATTATTATTATTGTTATTATTATTGTTATTATTATTATTATTATTATTATTATTGTTGTTATTATTATTATTATTATTATTATTATTATTATTATTATTATTATTATTATTATTATTATTATTATTATTATTACTTTCATCTTCAATATTATTATATACACTATTTTAGTAGTATTTATATAAATATTGTTGTCATGAATATTACATTTTTCATATTATGGTTATGATAATAATTATTGCTGTTACAATCACTCTCTTTCTTTTCCATAATATCTGCTTCCATTTCATTTTTCTTGTTAATGCTTTTATGTTTTAAGTAAACTCGCCCAAGAAAGTCAAGGAACAACTTGTGTTTTCACCTGTAAATTTTAAACTTCAATATCTCAAAAACCCGTTAAGATCAGTCAACCAAACTTGGCACACGCACTGACGACTAGCGACAGTTTGCCAGTACAGCAAATATGCCAGCACCAGCTTTACAGTGACGGCGCAGGGCATTCTGAAACACAGTCGAAAAGCTTGAAAAAATTGGCTAAATGTCTCTACTTCAGCAACATTGGCATAGGGACTGTTAGCTAAAACTAAGCTTTGTTGAAATCTGAAATTGTACACACTTAATCTAAGGAGTCGAAAGCAACGTTTTTGAAAAAATGAATAAATTAGGTTTAAACTGTTCTTCAGTTATCTTTCTTTCTATTTTTGTTCCTTGACTTTTTTGTGCGAATTTATTACAAACAGCCAAATACGACTCCTTTCAAATGTTTAACTTAGTAGACACAGCAGATCCACAAAAATTGTGAAATGCAACACAATTAGGTTATACAAGAGACATGACCTCAGGGTTAAACTTCCATCTCCAAAAGGACCAAGAAAGATAGGAAGTTCGTGTACAGTGCTTTTCCCAAGGACATAACGTCGGGCCGAGCTGAGGCTCGAACCCCCGAACCCGTAATCTCATGTTAACGGGTTCAGTAGCCTAATCACTAGGCTACTGGTGCCACCTATAGATCTATCTACAATCCAGAAAAGTAGAAACATTGTAATATTAGTGCCCAAACTTGATTACATGACTAGCATCAGGTTTTTTTTAACGAAATGTAGGCCAATTTTCTGTATCAACTGCAATCCCAAAATGAAATAATACTAAATGGTTATTGCGTGATAGCATTATTATTTTTTTTACATGTTACATCAGTATCCTGCTAACAAACTGGAGGGACGTGTCCTTTTGGGCATTCAAGCTTAAAAAAACAAACAAACAAGGAAACAGACAGACAAAACGTTTACAGTTAAAAATAAAAACGCAGTAAACCTACCCCCACCCCAAACATTCAACAACAAACAATAACACAAAAACAAAAACAAAAACAAAACAGAAAACAAACAAAAATCCAAAGAATATTTTTGAAAGGAAACCATTACTTTTCTCATTGATGTTGTTGTTCTTGCTGTATACGTCATTGGATTGTTGTTGTTGTTGTTGCTGCTGCTGCTGCTGCTGTTGCTGCTGTTGTTGTTGTTAGTCGCTGCTTGCTGTCATTATTGCCAATCGAACAACGAATGGGTTTTGTGATTGCCATACTGTGAAAAGTTGGTAGATATTAGCAAGATAACGCGGTCAAGAACCCCCACCCCCCAAAATAAATAAATAAATTAATTAATTAATTAATTAATTAATTAATTAATTAATTAATTTAAAAAATAAATAAATAAATAAAAAATAAATAAATAAAAAATTAAATTAATTTTTTTTTTTTTTTTTTAAAGAGGAAAACATAGAAAAAGCGGCGGAAAAGAGTATTTAACTATTCCATCATACCACATTCTCTCTCTTTGTTGTCACCAGCTTTAGTCCATTTATTGAACGACAATGCAGATTGCGTAAACTCCATAAAGGGATATGCTGCATCATATGCAGTATATTTGAATAGATGCCAGCAAAACAATGGCAAACATATCAATGTCACTGACGAAATAACCAACGCCCTTTACAAATATATAATATTATGATTATTAGACATACTAGGTCGCTATATAATAACACAGAACTGTTCTCTTGTCGTTAAAATCGTATTGGCAATAACGTAGGTTCAGAATGATTTCAGTCCCTCCGAGATCATACCGTAAAGCGATTCCGATAAACCGACCTCTTGAATATGGAGCTTGTTGCAGAAAACGTAGCTGTATAATACATGTAAAACGTTAGAACGTTTTATCTTGATAGTTTCTGAAAAGGGTGTTGGCGAACCTAACACGTTGTGAACGGAAGCCTCCCTTGTGTCCGATGGCGTTTTAGAATATGGACTTTCCCTAGAATAGATCTAAACGAAACTAATGAAAAAACTGAAAATTAAACTACAGTGACTTCGGGCTCCTCAATAAAACTGTGCACCCTTTGAATGATTCTGAACCACCGTTAATTTTGTCAAATTCGAAAGTTAAGTGGTTCGGAAGTTTTAGGTGGCCAAAGGGACGGACTTTCACAAATTGAATATCTTGAGATAATATTCAGTTAAGTTATTTTGAGACGAACTTCTAAGTACATGTCCGTCGTCGAAGATAAAGAACATTTGTGTGGAACATTTAAAGCACCTCGAAAGACCATCTTTCGAATATGTGGTGACATTTCTAGCCCACACTTCTGTATAATTATCTAAAACAATGGTATTTTAAGCTAGCTGGTCGTGTCGCTGGTGTTTAGTATGGAGTTCAAAATACCTCATTTGCAGAATTTTTAAACAAAATCAGCAAAAAAGCAAAACAAAACCAAATTTAAAAAAATAATATATATCAATGAGTAGCAGTATATAGGCTGGTTTTAATGTTTTATGCTTTTACTCCCAGCGTTAATTAGTTCAGTAGCGCAGTTAAGGAATAAGGAGCTGAGTAGAATTTGATCAAAGAAAGAACCTCATCTCTAAAATCGATAATGCAAACGTTCTCCTGTCAGTAAACTGAGGGTGAAAGTCAACTCTCAATTAATCTTCTTTTGAGACAAAATCTACTTTGGTATAAATCAAATTAGCGCCTGTCTGCTTCACTCTATATTTCCAAGCCCAGGGCTTTACTTCTAGTATGACTTTTCGGCACTTAGCAGAATGCCAGACGCATTTTTTAAAAGTTAAACAAAAATAAAACAAACACATTACTCAAAATGGTCTCTTTGTGGATGGTTGGCGGGAGACCTGATGTGTTTTGTTTCGTTCACATCAAATATACATCTTACTTAATATTTATTTTCCTACTTTTCTTTGTATGTAACTCTTTAGTACTACTCCAAATCAACGGCGCTGTTGTGGTCTATACGTTGTGTTTCACGCGTTGTAAAACTCCTACTACAACCAAAGCTAAAACATGATTTTTTTGTAACTCCTTCAACAGGCACACCATGTCTTCATTCATCGTAAGCCTTTACGTAATTTCCGCCGTGCTGCTGACCTCTCTGGACGTCACTTCCGGCACAAGTGACCCAGTGGCTGATGCGTGCTCACCATTGTGTAATGAGGAAACTTCCCTGGAGGTAAGATAAAGTTCAGGGACTGCAATAATAATAATTATGCCTTCATTTAAAAACCTATTTCAACACTGAATAGCTATTTAAGACATAGTGCCTCAATTTTTTCTCGTGCTGGTACTGCTGCTGCTGTTGCTGCTGCTGCTGCTGCTGATGATGATGATGATAATGATGATGATGATGATGATGATGATGATGATGATGATGATGATGATGATGATAATGAAAACTCGAAAGATTATGCCAAACCATCTAAAAAGGAACCAACAAAGTTTCTATTTGTTTTGTGTTTTGTTTTGGTCGGTCCCCCTAATACTATTAAACAACAACGATGATGATGGTGGCGGTGATGATGATGGTGATGATGATGATGATGATGATGATGATAATAATAATAATAATAAATAGCATTTGTATAGCGCATGTCACCACTCGAAAGCAAGCTCTATACGCTTTACCCTATATTATTACCCCAGCAGACGTTAGAACACTAAGAAACATTCTCAGCTTCCCAAGAAGCATGCAGTGTAGGCAGCTGGTTAAGCGCTCAAATCCGAACAAACTAACAAGATCTTTACTGTCTATAGCTGAGTACCCATTCCCACCTAGGTGAAGTGGGGAAAATTCGTGTAAAGTGCCTTTCCCAAGGACACAACGTCGGGCCCGCGGCTCGAATCCCCGAACCCACAACCTCACGATTACGAGTTCGGTAGCCTAACCACTAGGCCACCGACGCCACATGATGATGATGAAGATAACAACACCAGTAATAAAACGATATGGCAAAAGATAAAGTAATGATTTAAGTAATTGTTTTCAACTCACTGATTCCAATCAGATAGAGTATCGCCATCATTGTCATTTATAAGCACTATCCTAGTCTCTTGATAACGTTGCGTTTAATCATCTCTCTCCATCCCCGCTCCCCCTTGCCCTCTCTTCCCCCTCGTCTTACCACCCCCCTCGTCTTAACCCTCCCTCCCTCCCCCCCTCGTCTTAACCCTCCCTCCCTCCATCCTCACCAACCACACCACCTCCTCGACCTCTCAGGTCCAATGTGCCCGAGCCCGAGGCTGCTACGCCCCAGAGATCAAGAACAACACTGACCTCTTCTCTTCCTGTTGGGAGCATTGCTGGCACCTGGCTGGCAAGTGTTTCAGGTGTGAACATATATTATAGGCTATATAATTTTATTTTTAAAAAATAATTAATACTTAATATTATTTGATACCTATGTTTATTTGATGGGTAGGATGTCAAACAGGTTTAGATAAATCATATAGTAATGGTGAATAGTATTTATGTTGCATACTTCCTTCAACTTTCTCCAGACTTGTTCTCCCTGTATAGTGAAAATATCATGAGACACATAGAAGAAATGCCTGGTATTTCGATAGGGGGACATAATATAAACAATCTAAGATATGCAGATGACACAGTCCTAATAGCAGAAGATGAAAAACACCTGCAGAATCTATTAAATGTCATCGTACAAGAGAGTGACAACATGGGCTTAAACCTAAACATCAAGAAAACCGAAACGATGGTGATAAGCAGAAATACTCCAATCCCAACATGCAATATCAAAATCAATGATACCACCCTCAAGCAAGTACAACATTTTAGATATTTGGGGACCATTATATCATCAGATGGTAGATGTCACACCGAAATTAAAAGCCGCATTTGCCAAGCAAAAGCAACCTTCCACAAGATGAAACAGATACTAACAAACATCAATCTGTCACTGGAAATGAGGAAAAGAGTAATGAAAAGCTACATCGAGCCAATCCTATTATACGGGTGCGAAGCATGGACAATCAATAAACAGCTGGAAAAAACAATTGTTGCGGCAGAGTTGTGGTTCATGAGACGCATGCTACGTATCCCATGGACAACTAGAAAAACAAATGAAGAAGTCCTGGTTGAAGCAAATTACAGAAAACAACTTATCACGAATATAAGAAAACGACAGGCAAATTTTTTCGGACACACAATGCGGAAAGAAGCATTGGAGAACATTGTAACAACAGGAAAGTTTGATGGAAAGAGAGGTAGAGGCAGACAGAGGGAAAAGATACTGGACAAGATGACAACATGGCTGGGAGCAGCAAGAACAACAGACACCATTGCTGCTTCGAAAGACAGATGGAAGTGGAGGTCCATGATCGCCCACGCCAGTCGGCAAGGCACCGGATGATGATGACTTCCTTCAACAGAACAAAAAATCCCCCCCCCCATAAAAACAAATAAAACAACGACAACAACAACAACAACAACAACATTGCAGGCTCTGTGTCCTTGGAAAAAATGGGGAGGCTGGGCCTCCTCTTGGAGACGCGCTGTCTCTCTGGAGGCGGTGTCGGCTTGGGTTTGGCTTCCTTTTGTTTGACCTTGGTTTTTTTTCTCTGAGATATTTTAAATTCTAATGTTCTTTTCCCTCCTCTCTTTGACCGTTTAGTTTTTGGGAAGATGATAATGATGATGATGATGATGATGACGACGACTGCAATAACTGTAACATATTATTCTCATCCCATCCCTTCAGTCTGTGCGCTGACAACTTTGACCTAATTCTCCACGAATGCTTCGACAACTGCTCGTCACATCCCGGGCTCAAGTGTATCTCCAGCTGCTTTAGCCGCAAGTTTATGGACCTCAAAGCACAGTAAGTGACCTTAATGCCGTCAAACTACGAACTGTCGATATTAGTGACACAACGGGTCACAAAGAAGATAATTATTCATTAACATTAATTAACGAATGCAGTCTATTGGGTATCGTTTCAGGCCATACTGTGAGTGAATGACCATAATGTCGTCGACCTATGTCGAAACTCCTGACACAACGGGGCACAAAGAAGATAATTATTCACTAACATTAGTTAACGAATGCAGTCCACTGGCTATCGTTTCTGACATTATATAATTAATGTTCGGCTGAGAAAGTTTTGCCTTATATGCTATATAAATGCACTCTTTTATTATTATTATTATTATTATTATTATTATTATTATTATTATTATTATTATTATTATTATTATTATTATTATTATTATTATTATTATTATTATTATTATTATTATACTAATATTATCAACTTTAGCATTATCGAAGCATGTTGAAACAACCTATGTTGGTGTTGGGATCTAGAAAATTACAGTACAAGAATATAATATTCGCTTATTTTGTTTTGATTGTTTCTTCTTTTTTTAGCAAAAAATATAACTCAGCTTTAATTTGAATACAACTGTATGTTTTGCTTTTTTTATTCTTATGGCTGAACTATTTTTTTTCGGAATTCTGCAGAGTATTCCTAAATGTGGTCTGATTCTAGTCTACTCGCTTGATATTAACGTGGTCCTAAATCTTGTCATTCAGCTAGTCGAGAGTTTTTATGTCATTCTATTGTATCTTAATTTTTGTTTCCACTAGGAACATAAACTTCACAGGTGATCCCGGGGATGAGTTCAACACTACAGATCCGTACCCTGCAGTGGCACAAAATGACAACAACAGAACGGCGGCGGGACGCGTTGGTATCGGAATCACCGGCTCCCCGCCTTCTTCTAGAGTGCAAGCCAACTCCTCACTGAGTGGAGTCGTTTTACAGCCCGGGCAAGAGTTTGTGGCAGAAGTAATCGAGGATCTTCAAGAAACACCCGCTTCTTCTCTTACAACAGCTGCGTTTCCAGACTCCACGCCGCCAGCCGATCCCCTCGACGACCTTGAAAATGTCTTCGCCCTGAAAAAAGGCCAAAAACCCATCTTCGATCCCGACGATTCCGCAGTAAATTCAACGATGGCAGATACACCTGAAGTCTTGGACGCTTCGTCTGAGGCGTTACCGGTAATAGACTCTAGCACGGGTAGTTTGGACTTTGAGGATGTTCGCAAGCTCTTTCTTCAACATCACGGTGACTTACATCAGAGCATGGACTCATCCTGGCACACAAATGCCTGGGAGCGTGTTCTGGCTATGTACAGAAGCTCCACAGACAAGAAAATGGACGGTTCTGGAAATGGAGACATTGGATCTCAAGTGAAAAACCATCATACTACTAGTCAGCTGAGTTCAATATTGAGACGAGAAAAGTAAACAACTGCTACTCATCAACGATGGATGAGATCTCGTGCAAAATAAGTATATAAACGTTTATCTTCATTGAGCACTGTTGCTTGCTTTGTTGTGGAAAGTGAATTAACGTAATTGTAACATACGTGTAAAAGAAACTATGTTATAATGGCATCCGTTCAACAATACCCCGAGGGCCTTTTAGAAAGTAACAGTCGTTAGTATAAATATTTACCATTTTAGAACTTATCTCGCTAAGAAACATATTGCTCGTCTCAAGGGTGACTTCTCCACTTTTGAGCAAGAGCAAATCAATGCAAATACCATGAAATTTAATATCTTAAAAACATTTTGCCTGTTTTTCATGCTGGTGTTTTATACACCCATTGACACATTTTGGATTAATTGGGAAGCGGGTATTTGCATGTGCCACGATCTGTTATTTATAAGTAGCAAAACCCTATCAAGGGCTTTAAAAAGCTACTCACTGCAAACCATGTTAAATTGCGCGTGCCCGCTTAAAACTTGGTCGTGGCGGGAGCTTAAAATTTCAATTTGAATGTAAAAAGTCCTCTTTGTTCAGTCGTGATAAAAATAATAATGTCGTCTAAAAATCATTCTCACACAAGGCCTAATAACACGGTAACATGAATGCCTTCGACTGCACCACATAATGAAAATAATGCACCAGACACAGGCTGTTTGCTTAGTTATCTTAAACGAAGGGTTACCAAAGATGGTACATAACAAGATGGGCCACTCAGCCTAAAAAGTGTCCGCCGGAAGTCCGCTCTTTGCTTTAGATGGAGTGCAGTCGGTTTTGAAGCTCTCTTTCGTTTTTCCAGAAGAAGAATAGGAATAGCACTTCCTTGCGTGCGCCGATAGACTGCTGTTCATCAGCAGTTCGGGTTCGTTCAGTGCAGCGTTTTAGTTTTTTAAAATTTTAATGACCTCTCGCCTTTGTTTCTAAAGTCAAATTAAACAAAGAAAATAATCACCCCTTCCTCCGGAAGAGGTTTTCTGTCAGCGTAACCCATTTAAAGAAGCGTTCTTCCGAAATTTATATTAAAAACTTGCTAGTTTCACTTTGATTTTTTAAACTCAAGTAGGGTAACTCTGTTCTCAAAGGGTGCGCATTTGCGAAGAGGGCGCCACCGAATTTTGAGGACACTTTTAATTGGTTCAAGGAGAGGAGTTGGGGTTACTTGTTTCAGTTTTATTGCCCAGCGTGACCGGCACTGCGAAATCAAAAAGGCTGAGTAAAAAAGATGTCTGCACGGAAACTGTATGTACGTTCTAATCTTTGTTCTGTTTCGTTGTGTGTAAGTAGCGTTCCCAAACACAGCAGTCTGTGCTGTGGAAAAGAGTGGAACTGATCAAAACTGTCCCCCTTCTTGTACCCCCATCTTCTGTAAAACGGGTTTCTCCCTCTTTGTCCCCAATCGTCCCACCCCAGCTATATCTCTATTCCTCCCCCCACCCACCCCCCTCTCTCTCTGTCTCTCTCTCTCTCTGTCTCTCTCTCTTTCACACACACACACAAACATACATACACACACACACACACACACACACACACACACACACACACACACACACACACACACACACACACACACACACACGCGCGCGCGCGCACTCTCTCTCTCTCTCTCTCTCTCTCTCTCTCTCTCTCTCTCTTCATCTCTTTTCTCTTTCAATCTCCTATCCTTCTTTCTCTCTCTTTTACTCTCTCTCTCTTTCTACCTATCTCTCTCCTTTGCTCTCTCTCTCTCTCTCTCTCTCTCTCGCCCCCCCTCTCTCTCTCGCTCTCTCGCTCTCTCATACACACATACACTAAAGGGCAATACTGCTCAGGTTGTCAAGCACTCTGTTAAAGAGCAACGTGCCGACCCTCTTTAGTTATATCCCGCTTCAGAATTTTGTTTAGGTGCTATTTTCTCTTGCTGACTTGAGAAAAGTTGGCTTGTGACCCAGTATATCTATAATGCATGTAAATATAACATTTTTTGCCGTGACAGTATCTATGAATCGATGCAAAAGGGGGAACAAATAAAAGCATTTGAACAGACGTTTATTCTAAGGCTATTACTATTTTTGATCGTTGAGTATGTATCTGTATTCTGCTTGTCTCTTCCCTTCTCCTGTTTAAATCCAAAAGAGCACAAAGCTGTGAATGATCATCAACTGATCTTCGAAATGTTCAAAATCATAAACTTATAACGAGATTCGAAAGTTTTCCTATTAGGTCAAAGAGACAAAAATAGTAAAAATATATTGTTTGTAGTTCCAAATATAAAAGTATGCAGAGGGCTTTTCAAGTGCGTTGATGAAGGTGATGTTAAGATATTGTTGATACTACTGTCTGTTTTGTAGCTTTTACTGTTGTTGTTGCTGCTGCTGTTGTTTTTAATGTTGTTGTTGTTGTTGCTACTGCTGCTGTTGTTGTTGTTGTCGTTAATGTTGTTGTTAATTAACTGCTGCTAAGGGTGATATTGCTTACGATGATGATGTTACCAGTTCACTTCTCTCTTGCCGCTACCGCGGGTTATCATATCAACGACTTGTTTTGAAAATGTTCGGAGTTTAGACAAATTATCATACTATTGTTAATGTTATTGAAATGAAGACATTATATAGATTTATTTGTCTGGAAACTTTAGCTAATATTAATCGAGCCTAAGGCCGCTAGTTTAGCAGCATCAATGTTGCTAGTAAAGAATAATTATAGATGAAAAATGAAAAGCTGTGTAGACGACAAACGTTTTTTTTTCTTCTTCAATAATCAAATTGTTGTTTTTTATCCACCGGTCTGTTTTCGTGACCCTATCCGTACGTCGTGCTTTGCTATCGTATCAATACGACCTAGAGAACTCTGTGCCAACACTTCCAAAGAGGAAATTTGCTCGTTAATCCGATCTGTACGCTTTGCATAGCAGTCTGTCAAAATGATTTTTTGAGAAATACCGAAAGTTTCAAAGAGATCTTCGTATTCTAAAATGCGAATACAACCCATTGGATACAAAATGACCCCAGGGCGTACGGATAGAGTTAAAAGGACTCAATTTATAAACGTATTTTGGTGTTCCACGTTGTTGTAAATAATACGTAGATCAAATGGGTTTTATTTGTGGTGAAGGTGTCTGTGGACAACGCAAAGAGGGAATAAACCAAATTATTTGATCTCATGTGTTTTGACTGCCTCCTGTATACCTGTTTGCATACGGCGTGAAAGTTCATCTGACGCACAGAACCCGTTCGTTGTTTTCGGTTATAACAACAAATCTCTCTCCAAATGTCCGGCCTCTACAAGCTATTATAGTTAATCAAAGTGTACGCTTTTTGCTTGGCACAATCATTTCTACTCAGTTTGTTGTGTATCTTATATATAT